AGTCAGGCTTCACAGGCTTCAGAGACGCCTGGGTCCTGGTGCCCTTGTCCAGGTGCCGCTGCCAGCCAGGCACCCCAGAGCCACGTGGGCTGGTCCCCCAGCCGCTCCAGCCACCTCCCTGGGGCCTGTCTCTCGGGACACACTCGTCAACTCCCCCTTCCAGCTTCCCTGCTCTGCCAGGCTGGAAGTCCGGAAGTCAGCCTCTCGTGCTGCACCTGCACTGCAGATGCTGCCCCAGGCCCCGCCAGGTGCACCCCCTCGCCCCTGCCCTCGCCCTCGCCCAGCCTCAGCACCTCTTGCAGCACAGCATTGTCTCCCCAGGAATCTCTACGTCAGCCCCCGGCCTGGTGCCTCCACCTGAGCCTCTTCTCTTTGGCGTTCAAGGCTGTCTTGAATTCAGTTACGTCTACCTCCCGCCCACCCCCACCCTGGTCCACTCCGACACCCTGCTCCTCCTCCAGCCGCAGACTCTCCCTCCCCTTGCCCCGTCCACTCTGCCGCTCACCCCTCCCCTCACCCCCGGCGCTGCCTGTGCAGCCCCTCTGTGCCCTCCACGCGGCCCTTCTTCCTCCAGGGCCACCGAGCCCCTGGTCTGGGCTCCCACTGGGGCTGAACACCTGCTTTGCACAACAACACACGCGCCTCTAGGTGCGCTCCCCACCGGGATCCTCAGCCAGCAAGGGTGGCAGGGTGGTGCCTGACACTCAGGGACCAGGTGACCCCCGTCCCCGCTGGGCTGCACGGAACAGTCCGAACACCCAGCCGCTTCAAGACCCGGGATAAAGCATTTTATAGCGCCCACCCTCTCACCTTTCCAAAGCAAATGTTGCCCACTGTAGGGGAAGTCACCGGGGTCCACAGCCCTCCCAGGTCTGTGACAGGGAGCAGGTGTGTGACCGGCACCGCATGGCCCGCCGGGGCCCCGTCCCCATCTGTAAAGACGGAGATGCTCACTGTTAACTCACAGGTAGCTGGGGTGCTGGAGCCACGGGGGCAGAGCACGCGGTCAACACGCGTGCAGCAATTCTCTGCTCCCTCGCAGGGCAGTGGGATGACACAGCCACAGCGGTCGGCACCCCCGCAATCCACTCCCTCCTGCCTGGGTCCATGTACCTAGCCTGGTGCTAGGGGGTAAGAGGTTTCTGTTCATGCTGGATTTGCTCCACGTGCAGCAGCCCCTATGTTATAGGACAAAAGTTACTACCAAGTAGCAACTTTTTCTCAGGTGGCTACTATGAACAGGTGCAATTTATGGGGTGCCAAAGGACCCCCTGTTAGGAGCCGGGGCATGTGAAAACTCAAAGGTCTGGCCCCTCAAAGATATGCCCTCTGGGTGAGGAGGCCACCAGGGGCAGACAGCAGTCAATGCCAGGAAGGAGCCAGGCACCAACCCAGCCCACCAAGAGAGAGGGTGGAAGGGGTCCCCACCTGGGCCTTACCCATGACATGGAAGACTCCTGCCCTCTTGAGTTCCACACTGCCAATCATCCTGAAGCAGACTAGAGCATTCCCATTTTACAGATGAGAAAAGTGAGGCTCTGAGAGGTGAAGCTGTCTGCCCAAGGCCATGTAGGGAGTGATGCCAGGACAGGAAGTCGGGCCTGTGTGACACGTGGCAGCTGGAGCTGCCATCCCCCCATGTCTGTAGAGATTCACTTGTTCCTTGTTTGTTTTCTCCTTTAAAGACCTACTCATTTATTTGACAGGAAGAGTTACATAAGGGAGAAACACAGAGTTATCTTCCATCGTCTCATTCACTCTCCAAACGGCCACAATGGCTGGGGCTGGCCCAGGCTGAAGCCCGGAGCCTGGAACTCCATCGGGTTCTCCCTCATGGGTGGCAGGGGCTTGAGCACTTGAGTCACCCTCCACTGCCTTCCTGGCTGAGAAGTGGAGCAGCTGGGACTCGAACTCCAATGGGAGGCAGGCATTGGCAACGCCAGCTCTGTCACCCGCACCGTGCAAATGGGGAGATGTGGATGGGCCAGAAGGAAGAGGAGAGCCGGGCTGGGCCAGGAGGAGGGAGCAGGCGGAAGGTCATGCCAGGTGCCGTGGCATGTCCTGAGGCTTGGACTCACACACTGGGGGCCTGCAACTCCAAGCAAAGGCATCCGAACTGTACCCAGTAGCCTGGATGCTGCCGAGGGCGGTGAGACAGGGTGCCCAGGGGTTAGCGCCACATTTGTAGGCAGACAGACGGAGCAGCAGGTGCCTGGACGGCCAGCCAGGAAGCCCGCCCTCCTTACCAAAGCCGGTGCTGAGCAGCTCAAGGCCCCGAAGGGGGACAGTGGCAATGATGAAGCCAAGGTCGGGCTGGACAGGAGAGGTGTGCAAAGGAATGCAGGAGCCTGACGCACAAGGAGTGGGGTGGGGACGGCTGAAGGAGGGGTCAAGGAGCCACCCCCTGGGACAAGCCAGTGGGGGGGGTCAAGAGGAGTGGGCAGGGGGTGGGGGGTGGGCACAGGTGTTCCGGGGACCAGAGTAGCGCTGAGTCCGAGGCAGAACAAGCAGACCCCTGCAGGCCCGGGGTGGGGCACAGGGGGTGGGGACGCCAAGGCAAGCAGCCCCACGGGGAGGACTGAAAGTGCCATGCTGCCCGAGAGTGACGGGGTGAAGTGGTCAGAGGCCGGGGCTGTGACAGGCAGCCAGCAGTCTCCTGAGAGCACTGCACTGCCCCCACGTCTGCAGGTCCCTGAGACCCCTCCGCACAGGCTGCTGGCGGTCCAGCTCGGAGCCATCGAACAAAGTCATTTTTCTGGAAAGCACATGGAAGGCTGCAGAACGCAGCACACACCACAGGGACGAGTCTGAGGCCGGGGTACCAAGAGGCGCGTCCACCCGCGTGCGCACACACACGCACCTGGCTGCCCACCCACGCCAGCCACCTGCCCACCGCCAGCTTCCTCCACCCGGCTCCGCTGGCTTTCTGAGCTGTGCTCGCATCTCACTGGGGCAGCCTCCCCTCCCTCCCTCCAGCTATCTCTGCAGGCTCAGATCCAACTCGGGGACAGCTGAGCGCCCCCCTCCAGCGAGCCCCCCACCAGCGCCCAGCAGTTGGAAGCTTCTCCCTAGGGCCCCCACTTCCCTCCCAGTCAGCGGAAGTTCCCACTCTGTCCTCAGGGGAAAGTCAGACTGCAAAGCAGACCCAGGCTCCCTGAAGAACTTTGGGTGCCGATCAGTGGCCTGGGCAGGGGATGGGGAAACAGAAAATCAAGTCCTCTTCTTTTGCCGCCCCCCCCACCGCACCCCGCATCTGCTGCTCTCCCACCCTCAGGGCCAGCTGCCTCTGGATCCCAGGGGACAGATGCCAAGGAGGATGGGGTGAGGCGCAGCAGGTGAGACAGGTAAGAGGCCGCTGGGCAAGCCCCAGCCACAGGAAATGCATAAAACACAGAAAATTAAACAAACCCAGACGCTGTAATGTGTGCATATTAGATTAACTCTCCAAAGGGTCGTGACCTTGAGGAACACATCCAGCCAGTGAAGAAAATAATAAACCTGATTAATGACGAGGCCTGAGCCGAGGCTTCAGCAAAAGGAGGGCCTGATGATGCCCGGCAGAATTCCAGGGACTTCCTCCCCTGCCAGGCCTGGGCCACGGCAGACCTGCGCCAGACCCCTCAGCCCCAGCCACGCCAGCACAGACTCCCGGGCAGACACAGAGCCGGCCTTCTCTCCCGGGGACCCACGGCCCACCCAGGAGGCCCCTGGCCCCGGAGGTGCCACTCCAGCTGCTCCTGATGCTCCTAGAAGTGTCACCACCACACAGGTGACCCCCAGGCAAGGAAAGGGAAGGGAGTTCCCTTTGTTCCCCACCGGGCCAGTCCTCTCGGCCAGTCTTGGTCTGGCCTCCACCGAGGCCCACTGCCTGGCCAAGGGGCCCAGCAGAGCCCAGAGCTCCCCGCCTCTTCCCGGGCTGCCTAGGCCCTTGGGAGATGTGCCCAGGAGAGCCACTGGAGGGAGGCAGGGAGGTGGCACCGCGTGGCATCGCCAGACAACAGCACCGAGAGGAAGATGGCAGCATCAAGTACAGATGCCAAGAGCCACGCAGCCCCAGGTCCAGCTGGGGAGCAGCTCAGCCCGCATTGCCCCACCGCTGCCAGGCAGCCGGGCCACAGGGCCTGGCCCAACCCCTGGGCGGCCTCCTCTCCCAGCCCCAGGTCCCCCGCCAACTCTCCCCTCACTTTCCTCAGAGCCAGGGCGCCAAGGGGGAAAGACACAGGTGCTCCGGGCGCCTTGGACCACCTCCTGTCCCACCCAGGTCCCGGGGCGCCCAGCCCTGGAGAGCCACTCAGTGGGCTCCCCTCCCTCGCCAGCCAGACCCCTCCCCCTCCCGCACCCAATGCAGGTCTCTGGAGTTTCGCTCTCACTTCCCACTCGGCTGAACTAGGGTGGGATGGTGGGGAGCCCCCCGAGTCGCGGGAGGAGGGTCCTTTCTGGGAGGACGCTGCCTCCCCCAAGCAGGGCGGAGGGGGCGGGGGGTGTGGTGGTGGCCGGAGTCCAGCGCAGGGGCAGGGGGCAGCCCAGGCAGATGGCAGCGAGGGAATGGGGAGGGGGCTGCGAGGGGACGCAGGGCTGAGCCGGGACGGGGAAGGCGGCGGCGAGGCGGGGGCAGAGGCGCCGGCGTCGGGAAGGGGCCGGCAGCCCTGCAGGGGGCAGAGGCAGGGCTGCGAGTTGGACCGGGAGCCGCGGAAGGGCTGCGCAGCGAGGCGGGCGGCGGGCGGCGGGCGGCGGGCGCGGGGACGGGAACTCCGGGGCAGAGCGGCGGGCTCCGGCCGCGAGCCCGGGGACGCAGGACGGAGCGCGGGGCCGGCGGGCCGAGGGCGGCAGAGGGGCGGGGGCGCAGGGCCGGGGCGCGGGCCGCGGCCCCCGAGGGCAGCAGCGGCGGAGACGTCAGAAGTCGGGGCGCGGGCGCGCGGGCGGCCGGCGCGGGTGGGACCCGGGGGGCGCCGGGGGCAGGCCGGGGGGGGAGGGGCGCCGCGGCGGGCTGCTGCCCTTACCTGGGCGGCTCCGCACTCCGGGGGCTGAGCCGGGGGCCGGGCGACGCTCGGCCGGCCGCGGGGCTGCTGTTTTCCTATGTTTCCCTTCCGCGGCAGCCGCGGCGGCTCCAGCACGATCCGCCGGCAGCTGAAGGCAGAGTCTGTGTCCGGCTGCGAGCGAGCCGGGCGCGGGGAGCGCGGGAGGCGCGAGGTGAGTCGTGGTACACCTCCCGCCCGGCAGCGCGTGAGTTGCGACGTCCTCGCGCTCGACTCCGTGCAGCGGAGAGGGCGCGCCCCTTCGGGGCCCAGTCGGCGCCCCGCGCGCAGCCCGCACGCCCCCTGCGACCGCTCGGTGCCTCGGCCGGGTGCGCCTGGAGCCCAGGGGCAGCGGCGGCGGGGTGGGGACGGCTCCGAGTAGCCGGGAGCAAACTTGCGGCGACCCGGGCGCCGGGGCCGAGCGGGAGGTGGCGGCCGAGCTGAGGGGCGCGCGCGGCCGGGCGGGTGCTGCGGAGTGTGGCGCTCAGGTGGGGAACCCCGGCGTAGCCCGCACCCTCCACCGCCCTGCGCCAAGGGGCTGCCCTCCCCGGCCGGCTTCGGCGGGCGAAGGGCGCCTCCTGGTGGCGCGTGGGGAGCAGCGCGAGGGACGAGCGCGCCCAGTGACGGAGCGGACTGCAGCCCCAGCGGGCGGAAGACGGAGCGCGGGAGGCTGACCAGCCCCACTGTTTCAGGAGTGCAAGCATCCTAAGGGGAGCTGTCACCTGCTGATAACGGGAGAGCATCCCGAGGCTGGGAGAGGCGAAGGGACCACCCCAGACACGCAGGTAGCGAGGGGCAGGACCAAGGGGGTAACCAAGCCCTCCGAGGCGCAATGCCGTGTCCTCAGGAGCAGCAGGCTGGGGACGAGAAAGGGGCCCAAGGGGCATGCGACCTCCGCAAACCTATTGGCTCCTCTTTTCTGACCCACAGAGCGCTTTGAAGGGACCACGGAGCTGACCACAGCAGCCCGGCGGCACACCCGCGATCGCATTCATTCATTCCCTGCAGGACACGGCCTTCTGGGCTGCAGGGGGCGATGTGGGCGGCAAGCGGGCCTGCCTGACCCTGCGCTGCCTGCTCCACACTGGGCTTGACGCGTGGATGCGCCTCAGGGAGGGCGGGCGGCAGGCCGGAGGGCTCCCTGTCTCCAGCGGGACGTAATGCAGCACCTGTGTGCCTGCTCACGCAAGTGCGATTTCCAGCAACCTTCTCATCAGCTCTGTAGGGCAGGTGTTCAGGGGAGCCTGACCCCATCTTACAAACAAGGAACCCTGTGGAAACTTCCAGATCATGTATGAGAAAGCCGCATCCTGGGATGAAGGGGCTACCCGGAGCTAATTTCTTTTAAAATTATTTGTTTGAAAGGCAGAGACACGGAGATCTTCCATCTGCTGGCTCACTCTTCCAGCACCTGCAACAGCCAGGGCTGGACCAGGCTGCAGCCAAGAGCCCAGAACTCCATCCGGGTCCCCCACATGGGTGGCAGAGACCCAAGAACTGGAGCCTGGAGCCATTGTCTGCTGCCTCCCACAGTGTGCAGTCGCAGGAAGCTGGAAAGAGGAGCAGAGCCAGGAACCAAACCCAGGCACTGATCCAGGACGCGAGTGTCGTAACTGCGGGCCAAACGCTCAGCCCCAGAACTCACTCCTGACTGCGGTTCTGCTCCCTCTAGCTTCCTCCCACAGCTTTGCACAGTGCACAGGACAGCAGCTTGAGCCCGAGGGGGCAAGAGTGGCAGGCACCCCCGAGACCTGTGCCAGAGAGGCACCGAAAAGGAGGGCGTCGCTGAGGTCTACCGTGCCTTCAGACTTGGAAATGCCAGGTGTGGATCCCTGGCACCCTTCTACTGGGAGGATGCAGACCAGCGAGATGGAGAGTTCAGTGTTTGCGAAGGAAAGTACTGTCTATGTGGAACGCTTCTTTCGCCCATGAGCTCATCCTGTTAACCAGGGAAGGGGGAGGGAGCTGCTGGCTCCTGAGACTGCTGATGGCTCCAGAGGCAGCCTTGGCTCTGGCCTTCCTTCTCACCAAGCGGATCCCTTGCTTGTTCCACTGCTAACAGCAGGGAGCCCGGGCTTTCGCCCACCCAGCTTGTTTGCCTTCCCTCAGCTGCCAGCTGCTGAGCCCTTGGGAGGCCCTGTGTGCTTCCCACCTTCTCTGGTCCTGAATGGCAGGGCAACTGGTCAGTCCAAGTTCCAGCCAGACTACCTTCCCCAGCTCGGCTCTAGGGGTGGGATTCTGCAGCTGCAGGGGCTGAGGAGGCTGCTGCCTTGAATGGTAAAGCAGAAGTGTTGGGAGTTGGGGGCCTCCTCTAGGACTTGCGGTCTGAAGCGTCCCTGGCGGCCAGTGGCTCAGCAGTGTTGCACAGACAGGGTGCAGTGTGTTTGGGTGCTTTGGTGGCTGGAGCCTTAAGGAGGGTGTTCCTCCCCCTGGATTTATTCCTAGCTTCTCCCTTCGCTGTTTCTGCCTTGTCTTGGCTCTTGCCAAGGTCCCTTTGAAGGTTCGTCACAAGTACAAAATGATCCCACTGCATCAACAGGGCCAGCCATGGCAGGCGGTGACCTGGGGGCTTGTCCTCCCATTGCCCAGCCTTCTACCCGGTGCCCTGACTTTAGTCTGGGCCCCTCCAACATATCCTTACTGGCTGCCAAGGGCGATGATGGAGCTAAACCCTAACTTAAAGCCCTTCATGACCCCATACACTCTAGAAGGTAAAGTGGAATCCAAATCTCAGACCAACTTCCATTTCAGACTCCACCCGTGCCAAACTGCCTCTTGTCCTCTGGTCATCTTGATGCCTCTTGAAGACACGGAAGTCCACCTGGAAGTCCCCGGCCCCTCATCCCCACATGGACCCCCAAGTTCCTTCTTCCCTCTGAGAACGGAGTTGAGGAACCATCTCCTACTGTGAGTGTGCATACCTTACTGTCCAGTGCCTTCCCGACACTTAAGTTACTTCCTCCCTTGGACCCTCCCAGCTCTTGTTAGAGTTCTCACTGACCTGACCGCATCTGCTCTCAGTGACGGTCTGCGACCCTGTTCTCCTGGAGTTCTCTTTAAGGTTCTCCCTTCTTTCTGTTTGCCTCAGGTATATCCACAGAGCAGAACACCTGATCTTAGATTTTCCTGCCATTTCTTGGCCAAAGGTCTGTGATGGGAATGAGGACTTACAGAGTAAGCTTTGATGGGGCCCTCAATTCTGGCAACTCATATTTGCTCCTGTCCTCACCGCTGATGAGCAGGTGAAATCCTCCCGCTAGCCAGTATGAAGCTAGGAGTCTTCGTGAAGCTTGAAGTCTGCGAACCTAAGCTGAAGTTGAGGTTCACATTTGAGAACTTGAGGGTGACGGTAGCAGACGCCACGTGGCATGTCCATATTGCCATACGATATTAAGATTAACCCAGTCTGCCAGAGTACGTTGACCCCCAGATTAAAAGACATTTTGTGTCCTCCTTGTCACCTGTCTGGGAGGTGAGTGGTTCATTCCTAAGGAAGCATGTCTTAGAAAGTGGAATTGAACTTAGAAGGAGAAATGTTCTTTGATTCTTACTCATGCCTTAATGGATGCAATATGCATTGGTTTTGCCCAGGCACGTTATGGACCAGTGTGGGCAAAGAGCAAATATGAATGCATGTAGCCTAGATGGCAACAGAGCCCTCATGCCTCCTATTAGCATATCACCCAGCCCAGCTGGCTGCAAAGACTACATCTAATGTTAAAGAGCCCCACCCTCACCTGTCGGCCAGGACACAAGTCCCTTCTGCAACATCTCTCATCTCCATATTACTAATCTAGGCATAAAGAATAGTGTTCACACTGAAATTTTAAATTCCAGATTATCCTTGATCCAAACACAGCCTGCCTGTCATGCGGCAACCTTGCCCTCATCCCTCATGTGGGACCCTCATTCCTTCTCACCATGCCTCTCAGTTTCCACTCACCTCTCTGCAAGAGCTGAGCTGCCATGACAATTAGCTCTTTGAGAAATCCTTGTGCCAGGCACCAGACGAAACAGAAAGCAAGACAAATCAGGGCCTGTCCTCCTGAAGTTCACAGTCGAATAACAGAATCTGTAGAGATAACACACTTTCCTTCCAACAGTTTGGGTCCATTCTGACATCAGGCATTTTCTGTGTGGTGCTTACATACAGAATTCACTGTATGTGACACAGTCATAGCCTGGCTGGGGGTGCGGGCAGGGGCATATGGCTTACGGTAATTTGAGCTGCGGTCGGGAGCGGTCATTTGGCCTGACAGTTAAGCCCCAGTTAAGATGCTGATGTCCTGTTCTGTGGGGCCTGACGTGAACATCCACCTCTGCCTCTTGACCCCAGCTTTCTGCTAATGTACACCCTGGGAGGCGGCAGTGATGGCTCAAGTAATTGGCTCCTGCCACCCATGGGATTGAGTTTCTGCTTTGTGGTTTGAGATCATCCCAGTGCGGACTCTTGTGAGCATTTGGGGGGTAAACCAGCACATGGGAGCTCTGTCTCAGAGAGAAAGTGAGCGAGAGGGAGAGAGAGGGGCAGCTGAAGGCCTTTAGAAAAGCCCAGCTAGGTGTGCACCAGAACTCTCAGTCTGAGTCTTCCTCGGACCTGTGCTGGGGCTGGAGCTCTAGCAGTGCACCGAGAGGGGCCTTGTGTTCAGTGGCACCAGCAGAGGCTTGGGAGCGCTCCTGAGAGCAGTGTTGTACTTGTTGTTCTTCGTGTGATCCTCACAGCTAGTCTAGGTCGGTTCCAGTACACAGTGGCCTAGATATAAACCGCTCAGGAAGGAAGCAGCAGAGCTGGGCTCAAACCCGGAACTCCCATCTCCAGGGGGGAATTTCGTCAGAGACCACTGGGCGAAAGGGTGCAGCGTGTCCGGGTCAGACAGGGGGACAGGCTACGCACTCCCTTTCCCACCCTTTTCCCATCTTCCTTCTTCCCCAGGAACAGCAGTGGCTGAGCAAACAGTCCGGTTGAACAGGGGGAAGAGGTGGAGGGTGGGGAACAGGCTGGCATTCTGCACCTGGGAGCAAAGCATAATCCGTTTAGCAATGGCAAGAACAGAGAGAAGGATCTGTCTTCTCAGTGCCAGCAACCTTCAGATATCAAAAATAAGGTGGCAGTTTTCAGATTACCCCCAGGTGGTTGGGATTTGAAATTTATCCTGAATATAGTGTT